CTTATGCGAATTAAAGAAGCAGCATGTAATATCGCATGACCCCAAACAGAAACTGGTAGTTTTGTTCTCATGATTAATGGTCTAGCAATTAGTTGTAGTCGTTTAATTAATGATTCTGCTAAACCATTTTGTGTATGTACGTGAGCAACAGGGTGCTCAACAGTAATTCCAGCAGACATACAATAATCATTAAATGCTTGAGACGTAAATTCACCAGTGTTGTCAAGTCTAACCCTTTTGATTGCATAATCAGGAAATTGAGCTCGTAATTTTATAATTTGCGCAAGAAATTTTGCAAATGCAACATTCCGGGTTGACAGTAAACACACATGTGACCACCTACTAGATGCATCTATTAATACCATAGAATATCTGAATGGTCCACATATATCACCTTGGATTCTTTCAAGAAACGTAGGTGATTCATTTTGAATCTTTAATGGTGATGGTCTCATTATCAATTTTCTAAGAAAACAAGTTTCACATGGAATTTCATTACTCTGGGGGATCCTTTGTCCCTTTAAGGGATGACCGTGTGTATTTTCAATAATTCTTCGCATCATTATAGATCCCGGGTGGCCTAATCTTTCATGCCACAAATTCATCACAGAATGATCGAAGAATTTTTCTTTCATTGCCATATGTGATTCAATCACATTTATATATGTATAATGCAAACCATTAGAAAGTGGCAATCTCTCTAATATTCTTACCTTTCCTGATCCATAAATAATGATATTCAAATATTTCACATTGTCAACAGTCATTGATTGGGTGTCATACCCATTTCGATATAAATATCATCGAAACTCAACAAATTTCTTGTTGAATTTGGTGAAAACAGGGCTTCATTAATCACAATTTGTGTTCCTTTTGGTAATGTGACATTGACTTTACCAATCCCTTCAATCAAATCTGTTGGACATGATATTGTATACACAATCGCCTTTGTTGGCTTTAACTCTGAAAAATATTCTCTGTTTTTCAGAATAGTATGTGTAGTGCCACTGTCTGCAATACAAAAATCTCCAACATGCCCTTTTTGTCAAATTTCCATGTCAAAACTTCAAACAAAAAACAATCAATCAGTTATTATCAAGTAGAGAATATTAAAATTAAAAGTCACAAATCAAAACTCAAATATTATCACAATTATCAAGTTCATAGTCTCAACAAAAAACATACTGCCATACATTGATTCAAAACATTATAAGACCATACAATGATCATTATTATTACAACATCAAAACTACTCATTCAGACATACACTCATACATTGATACTATACACTTAGACACAAGGATCATACACCAATCCATTATTATTACAACATAAATGTTACACACTTAGACACAAGGATCAAACACCATTCCGTTATTATTACAACATTAAGACACATACATAATTTTCACTTCATACTGGTAGGGCAACTGTTTGCCCTTAATTATCAGCAAAGTCTTCACTGAAATCCAATGCACTTAAGTTTGTAGCATTATCCACTTGTTCAATAAGGTTTGCTTCCTTTTCTTTTCCCTTTGATTCCTTGTAGAGTTGGCAAAGATGTGGTGGTGTTCGGCAAACACGTGCCCAATGTCCTGTACTACCACATCAGAAACATTTGGTCTCAACCTTCTTCTGCTTATCAAGAATATTTTCTTTATTCACTTTCCTTTTCTGGAACTGGGCCTGTGTTCCTTGTGGGATGTTCTTTTGCATGATTATGGCCAAAATTATAGTTTCTTCCATTTCTACGGCCACGGCCACGACCGCGGCCACGATTTTCACCTCGTCCACGGTTATTGTATTTTCCAAAATTACTTGTTCCAACAGCATTTGTTTCGGGAAATGCTATTGACCCCGTAGGATGAGATTGATGGTTTCTCATTAATATTTCATTATTCTTTTCAGCAACCATAAGTTTAGAAATTAGTTCATGATACCTTTTAACATTCATTAATCTGTAGTGGTGCTGCAGAACAATATTAGAAGCATGAAATGTGGATAATGTTTTCTCAATCATGTCTGCATCAGTGACTGTTTCTCCACAGTATCTCAACCGAGAGACTATTCGGAACAGTGCTTCAATAATAGTCGATAACCTTTTGAAGTCCCGAAGCGTAATGCATTCCATTCTTCTTTGGCGGTTGGAAGCATCACCTCAAGTTGGTGATCAAATCTTTCTTCAAGATCCTTCCATAAAGTTTTGGGATTTTTGACTGATAGACATTCACTTTTAAGAAAATCATCAAGATGTTTTCGAATAAAGATCAATGCCTTTGCCTTTTCCTGGGCAGTGGCATCATCTTCTGTTATCGTTTTCAGAAGACCCAATGATTCAAGATGCATTGACAAGTCAAGTTTCCTGGACATGTAGTTGTCTCCAGTGTAACTGAGAGCATTGAATTTCAAGCTTTGACAAGTTTGAAGACATAGTTCTCTAGTAAACAAAAGAGAACATAATTAACATTTTATTTCATAAATCAATAAATAAAACTAACAATTTTCAATAAATATAGCAATTAACAATAGGGGTAAAATACATGTTATAAGTACTCCCAAATGGAAAGTAAAATCTATGTCTTCTAAATTAAATACAAAAAAAGTATGTATACAAACTAATAATATGCAAAAGAGAAAAAGGAAAGATATGTATTTTTCTTTAAGAAATTAAGAAGAGAAAGAAGGAGAATATTGTGAAGGTGTGTAAATGAGATTTAGAAATGAGGTATTTATAGAAAAAATTTTAGAATTTAGTCGTTATGTGTCCGTTAATTTTTGTTGAATATAGCCGTTATATATGTACGTATACTATACGTATATAACCGTTGTGAAAAACTACTTTTGAAACATAAATTAATTAAGCAGTTTAAAAATATAGAAAAACAAGTAAAATCATTTCGTGAGTTAAACTATAGAATATAAATATGCAAGTAGTCTAATTTTTCATATGATAAATTTATGACTAAAATAAACTTCCTTGCAAGAATAAAAATGAATACTTACATGGGAGTAAAATTCCAACCACAGTAGCAATAAATAATTCGTGGGGTGAAAACCTTTCCACGTTAGCAATAAAAATAAAGAATTGTGTGCGGTAAAAACCGATCCACAGTAAGAATAACTATGCGGGGTGAAAATCCATCCACAGTAAAATTAATAACTATGTAGGCGGATAATCCATCCCACAATTGCAATAGGCATAAACGATTATGTGGGGAAAAGTCCATCCACAACAAAATTAAATAAGAATTAAATAGTTATGTAGGTGGAAAATCCATCACACAATAACAATAAACATAAATGATTATATGAGAAAAAATCCATCCACAACAAAATTAAATAAGAATTAAATAGTTATGTAGGCAGAAAATCCATCCATAATAAAATTCAGATTAAGTAGAGAAATTTTACCTTCAGTGACAATTGAGCGTTCGTGCTGATAACGTGTTCGAAAACTAATGTCCAATACAATATTCCAAGCAAAGGTTCTAGTAAATTATTTATTTAAGAGATGATATATTTAATTTATATAACTTCTCTACTAGAGACTTTAATATAATAACTTTATAATAATTGAAATGTTATGAAATAATTATAATGCTTAAAGGGAGAGAGAAGGTGATTAAAAGAAGAAATAGGGTAAGAAGCAAAGTAGGAGGAAATTTACTCATGTATATTTTTGGTGCAATTTAACCACTACATAAGCCTCTTATTTACAGCCATCACCTAATGACAATTTTGTAAATATATAATAAGTAGGTTTACATCAAAATCAAAGTATTATTCTTAATAGTATTCCTTGCTTAATGTATGCTCACATTTAATATATATTTTGCCATTCATTTTACAACATAGTCCACTTATAGAGTAGAATATTTTTTTGAAGGCAAAAAGACTACATCTAATATCATGAACAATCCTCAGCCCTATATATGATGATGAAGTTTTTGAGCAGAAATCAACCCTTTATGAACATGACATTGGACGGTCAGATGCTCGATTAAAACCATCCAACGGTTTCTAATGAAAGATTGTATTATTATCGATAAAAGTCAAGGTTGATACACCAGATTGCTCCGCCCAAACTGAGCCGCATTTAATGCAGTTGCAGAGATCTTACACAAACAAAACAGCCACAAAAGTACACCGACAAAAAACTTCTTTTTTCCCTCAAATAGAAAGAAAATTTCAAGTACACCATGAGAAGGAGAAGAATCCATTTATCTATACATCATCGATTCAATTCGCTAATTTTGGAGATTTATTCATGTACGTGTGAGGATGGACTAACCTTTACTTTCAGATCTGCTTCTGGTGTTGCTTTGTTAACCTGATTTGCAATCAAAACAAGGTACGTTTTTATCGATGCATATCCTCAGTATTATCACATGAAACTATGGCTGATTGAATCGATTTTTCTTTTTTTCAATTAATTTTTGTTTTTGGTTTCGTTTTGATAAGATAAATGAGTTAGAGAATGAACTTGGTCGGCGAGTTGCATGTTAACTCGGGTTGTGGGTGGACAATACAAATTTGTTACGAAAATACTTTAGGATTGCAGGTTCTGAAACAAGTGCATTATTTGCCATCCAAACTGCCCAGATCAGCTCTCTAAATATTGCAATGTTGTTCATTATCAGACATTTTGCACATCGCCCTCGACATCCAAAAGAGATTTTTCAGTCTGAACTTGCCCTGACTAAGTGCGTTTTGCACCAGATAAAGTTTCTAAAGTGACATCACTATTCAGTATCACCTATCCTCTATATACAAGTGTGATTCAAGGGAAACAGATTTGCATTGAAAGTTGCCCAGATCTGCGACCAATGCTGTCTTTGTCCCAACAAACTAGAGATTTACTATGTACTCCTGCCCTGACTAAAATCTGTAAACTTCGTATCTCGTGTTTAAGCTCAAGCAATGCGTCAATAACAAAAAGAAAAGTGATTGGCTATGTAAAATATCCGAGCCAGCAAAGAAAGTAATCCTCTCACTCGTCCTCAGAGCATGAAAGCCTTTAATATCTTTACCACTTCATTCATTGTTGGCCTTAGGGAGGAGTCTGCACGGGTACATTCTAGTCCCAAGTTTGCCATTAACTCTGCGTGTGCAGGACTGCATCCTGTGTCAACCAGACTCATGTGAACTGCTGATCCTCCAGGAACACATTTTGCAAGAGATGTATTATTTCTATAGGGGTTTTGTTCCTTGGTAAGAAGCTGTAGGAGTAGGATCCCCATGCTGTACACATCCATGCTCTTTGAAGCGCGTCCTGGAAATAATGATGTTACACCAATAAGTTACATATTAAGGATGAGTGTCTCCTTAATCTAGTATCGTGCTGTTATTTGACCATGAATTGGGTAAAAAATTAAATGGAAAAAGCTTATGTATCTTAGTTGTTCACTCAAGTAGTGGAAAATTATCTTGCCGAGGCTTGATCAATTTGCTGTTCAATTATATTAAAAAGCACTAATCAGTTCACAGGCTTTTACCTTCTAGGATGCCTCCACCAGGTTTGTGTTTTGTCCTTTTTTTTTTTTTTTAATGTAGTTCTGACCATTTCTTATGTGTATGGGGCATAAATTAAGTTTCTTAGCATGCATTTACTATCCTGTCATTTTTCAAATGCATTAATTTGCATTCAACTCTAGAACTCTAATTTAATCTGCAATTGATTTGCTAATCGGAAATGAAAAGAAAGTTTGGCATGCATTTTGAGATTTGATTAACATTCATGACTTACGCTCACGCAGTGTCATCGGGTCATTGTAACCGGGACTATAACAGAGCAATCTCTCATCTTCTTCTACTGCCTGGCCAAAGTCTCCTAGTCTTGGCAAAAAGTCCTGAAATTAAAATACATTTTCTCAATCAGAAAAGAGGAGTCATATGTTACTTTTGTCATGGAATATTCCACAAATAAAAAGCATTTGTTATGAACATGTTCTTAAGATAAACATATGGTTTATGCATTGCACACAATACATGACGCTGGAGGGAAAGAATTTGGGAGGTTTGTTGTGCATATATTTGTATGTAGGATACCTTATCAAGTAATATATTTGGCGCTCTGAAATCTGCAAAAATAATTGGTGGATCCTGCATGTGCAAGACCTGCAGAGCTTCTGCTGATCCGATAGCTATCTTCTTTGTTTGATTCCAATCAAGACCTGCAATGTATAATATCAAAATAGTTGTTGAGTAATTTAGTGAAAAGTCCATCTTTGAGGTTACCCACATTTTCTAGATTTTATAAGCAAAAACTATGTCTTGCCTAACTGTTAGATCTTTGAAAATATTAGGTTATGGAACTTACAGGTTTCTTTCTTTTCATTTATCCACAAAATAGTAAAGACACTTCTTTTGAATAGCTTTGGGCTAGTATAATAGCTACAATGTGAGCACGTAACATAAACATTCCATTTTCTCAGTCACTGCTTCCTACTTTCAAAACATTTGAAAGTACACAAGGCAAAGCGAGGCACAGCTAGAAAGTTCTTAGACCCTCTATGTAGGCTATATAAGGCAGACCAAGGGTTGTAGGAAACTAGATGTTTCCTAAGAATCATCCCCAGTTCAGGTGTTACATAACTAGATGGTTTCAAAACTAATACCACTTCACATTAAGATTCACCATTTACTTGCTTTCATTAAAAATAAACTCAATGGGGAGGGAAAGATCTATAAAGACTTGTAAAGCAGTTATCAAAAAGGACATTGGATGTTTAAATTTAAATGAAAATACGTGTGTCAACCAAGCACAATGGCAACTTATGACCCATAAAGACCCCCGAAATGTGTGGGATAATTGTCGTTGATTCAATTGGGAAGACCTTATAGGCTAAATAAGCTTTATGTATAGAGATGAAAAATATGAAACCTCGAACTTGGGAATCATCTTAAAATCAACAATTTTACCTGAAAGAACCTTGACGAGCTTTCTGAGACTTGAATAAGGATAGCACATTTTCTTTTCTTTTCTTATGAGGTTACATCATTAAGGCTCTCAGTTATTTGCGTTTCGCTTTCTACTAACATATAGTATTAAACTTAGGTACCATCTAGAAAGTTCTTGATATTGACTTTCCCTGTGCTTGTTCTAGGCCACCCCACTTTAGAGGCTTTTTTTAATCAATGGAAGGATCTCGTACACTTTGTAATTAGGACATATATAACCTGGAACAAGTAGCCCAAATTTTGCTTAGTGTTATGTCTAGCGTTTTCTTAAGGTTCAACAATATGAAATATGTTCTTAGGTTCATTCAGAATGACATATACTCGAAGATAGCTCGTCTCATACTTTTATAGGTTGTTGAAAGTAATTCATTATCACTCACCCAATTATAACGTGAATGATGCAGGAAGAGTTCAGAGATAACCTTGATAAGAAATTATTAGTATAAGTAATTTCCTTTCAGTTACGTATTTTATTTGATGCCAGTTTTAGTCCTAAGTTTTCGGAAATTGGGATGCCTGTCAGGGTTAGGATTACTTAGGATCTCTCTGTAAATAGAGACGCTATACAGCTTTATTATTCACATTTTCTGATATTAATATAATTTTAAGCTTTTGAAGCTTTCAGAGACTGTCTTTCTTACCCTATGGCTAGGGTTTGCCTATTCCGTTTATTTTCAATTCAGCCCCTGTTTTCCATCAGTGAAGATTGCTTCTTTCTTACTTTTTGGAGTAAACAATTATTATGTGCCCTTACATCTGTGTCTACTAATTTCCTTTCCACTCCATCAACTATAGGCTACCTTTACTTGACTATTGTATGGGTTTGGAAGCATGTGCACAAAAATAGGCTAACTCAAAAGCTGCAGCAGTAAGAAGCACTCAGTACTGAGCCTTTCCAAGATTTTAGAAGCTGCTTTTGTTTTACCTCCAAACTTTTATAACCTCGAAAAAGGACACAAGTTATGTTTCTAATGGTTCACTTGTAAGAATTTGCCGAACCGTAGCTAACCTTTGCCTTTTGATTTTTAAGCTTTAATAAATAGGCCTAGAGATTGTGAGTATTTTCTTCTTCGTTAGACAGATGTCCCCAAGATTATCTCGTCATTCATCTGTTTTTATATGGATTGAGGAAAGTTCTTACTCATATTTTGTCCTTGGAGAATAATAGATGAACTTAGAAATTACCTTCCAGTCTTCTGCTAACGCTCCCATTTTCCATGAATTCATATACAAGGAATAGCTTTGGTTTAGGCATTCTCTTTGCTTGATGAAAACAGTGTCCCCACAACTTTAGAATGCGGGGATGGTCTATCCTTGACATGAACTTGATCTCTGCCTGAATGAGAGGTTAGAAGGGTAAAATCATGAGTGAGGACAAATAGAATAATCATTACTAGAGTGCAGCAGTAAAGGGTTTGATCTGAAACTCACTTTCCATTGTGTCTCTTCTGATCTGTTAATGCAGTGGGAAGCCTTTACTGCTACTCTGAGTCCAGTGAAATCTGAACCGGGGCATGAGGTATCTATAACAACACCAAGGAAGACATCACCAAAATTCCCTGCACTGATTCTTTGTTCTTCTTGAAAATCTTTAGTGTAATACTGCATATGCTGGAAAGTGAAGCCTTGAAAAAGTGATCCTTGCTTGGCTGTTTCAAATGGAACAAGAATTCACTATAGGCACATAAGAAAAGATGGAATTAACAGTCGCTATATACACATACATTTAAGGAGTCATGGATATAATTTACAAGGTATGACCGTTAATCTTTTTTCCCATTGGCCAATGTTGACGACTGTTGTAATTCTTGTAGTACTTATATGTATTCCTCTGTTTTCTCATTACAATGGGCTATCACCATCTCATGAAGTTTATACTTGAACATGTCTATGTTTTTGCTGAAACTGTCTATTTTTCTTGTTCAGAATGAAACTTCTGTTTTTGTACATCTTCAAGTACACTATGCATTTTTCGTTATTGTGGGGGAAATGCTTCCGCTAATTCAATTTCTCTTAGATGTGTTAATAGATCACTTAAAACAGGCAAGCATGCTCAATAGGTAATGATGAATTGATCGAGATGAATATCTTACTCCAGTTTGTATATATCTCTGGAGGTACTGCTTTGAGCCGAATACGAACTTCTGGGGTTGGCCATTGAAAGTTGAAATTCATCTTTTCACCTTCAAGTATGGCATAGTTCCAGAGATTACTTCGCTGCAGCAGCTCTTTTCGCAGGCGAGATGTTTCCTGAAAGAATATTGATGATTGAAAACACTGTATAACAGGAGCATAATGCAACAGGTGAAGTTGAATTCTTTTGCTTGTCAGCTGAAAATAGTCATTCCGGCCCTTAAAGTTGTCCTTTTTGCTGAACTATTCTTGTTAAAAAAAGTAGAATATTGCTCTGGGTGTGGAGCGTAACCTTTTTTTTTTTTTTTTTTTGGTAAAAAAAGTAGAATTCGCTGCACATCTTATTGTTGGATGAGCTTATATTTGAAATTACTTTACTCTTCATATATTTGGTTTAGAAAACGAAAGTAACAAATAGAAGAGTGTTTTCAGAACCCAAGATTGAAGTTGTGAAGAGTGCATAAAGATTTTGCTCAGTTCTTTGATATGTCAATATGAGTGCTAACAATGTAACTGGGGTTTTCCCATTTCTTTTCTTCTTTCATTTTAGATGTACATATGGCATAAGACCTCCTTATATTAACCAAGATGGCATACTCAAAAAGTCATTATATGCTAATTGCTGATAAAATAACAAGAAAACTGAAACAACTGACCGGCAAAATTCTTATGACAAAGATAGCGTGTCCTAGAAATGCAGCATCCAAGCTTGAAGGTCTAGAATCATCCAAGCTTATTCCAGCAAAGACATAAAGATGATTAGAATAAGTTATACTTCACAAAATAGAGCAGAGGTATAAAAATAGTGGGCAAAGTCACATTTTACAGTGTAGATCTGGACATTCCTTTATTTTTGCAGAAGAATTACCTTTCGTCAAAGAAGGTTCTTTTTGTGCCCAAGGTTGTAGACAATTGATCATAGGTGAATGAAACGAACTTATAGAGCTGAGAGCATGAAAAAAGTTGGTTTCATTATTATGAGTTGCCATAAAAGGTTTAGTGATGAAATGTATATGAATGTTGGTAATTTCTCCAAATAAAAAGAGAATGTTGAGGATCAGGTGTTTCTGTTCTATTTACCTCTTCTATCTTTCTGCACCTGCCTTCTTCCTCTAAATCCATCAGTTGTGATTTTCTCCTGAAGTATCGTGCCTTAGCTTCAGCTTCCCCAAGTCTTAATCCACTCAGTAGGTATCCTAATGAGTTTCTTGTGTGCTCAGGTTCAATCCACAGTTCATATGTTGCAGCTTTGCCAAGCCAATCTCTTATGTGGGAATGCATTAGCATTGAGTGATCTCTTGTCTCTTCATTCAAGTGGAAATCAAGATTGGCCACATTTTGTTTGATCAAGTCCTGAATTCCTTTGTATCCGAGGTAGCTATTGCATTTGATTTTGGGACTAAAATCTGGTTAAATGGACATGTATGTATATCAGGTGATAGGTTTAAGCCGTGCAAGATGTATAAATCAAATATTATTTTCGTTAGATTACCTAGATCAAAGTTTACCAAATCTCTCTTGCAATTGAAGGGAATTCCAGCCATCATGCAATAGCAATAAACCCCAAGACTATGGGGACATGCAGTGGGAAGCCCATATGCAGCGTCCCTCATACTGATACTGAGTTGTCTATCCATCCTACAATAACAAAACAGGGGAAAGATATGTACATGGGAATTTGGACTAACACATTTTCCAGGAGACAACATAATCGTGGTGAAGTAAAGGACCTACAAGATATGGACAGAACAGAAAAAAGAGTGAAAAATATTATGCATCTAAGTACCAAATCAAGGTATCGGAATCGTTGCAAATTAAGATTTAAAGTGATTACATGTTGCGAAACATGCTTGAATACGACTAAATGTACCGTCTTAGCTGATTCTGTCTTTTTTACAAGGCATTCCACTCCGTAAGTCATTAAAGATCTCTGTAATGGCCCTTTTGAAGGACACTGGTATGCAACAATTTGCCTGATGTGAATAATGTTCTTCACTTTTTACAAATATTGATGCAACATGAACATGAATATGCCAGGAGAAGCTAAAAAAATAAAAAATAAAATAAAAGAAGAAGAAGAAGAAAAAGGAAGAAAAAGAATGCCAAGAGAAGCCTAGAAAGCATCAAATGACGATTTGCGCTCTGGTTAGCATTATATTCTTGAAACAAAGAAGAAAATGGGAAACATGATGCACTTTCTGGTATCAAGTAGAATTCTATTGCCGTAGGCTACTTCAGCACACAGTGGGCTCAAAATATCATTATTCAAAACCTTCAAAACCTCAAAACACATATTCCAATTTCCAAGAACAATAACGGTGGTAAAAGAAAGGGACAAAAGAAGTGAATGCCGAGCCCAATCGAATTCTTTAGTTACCGGATATAGAACAAACGGAAGTAGCATAATTATCATAGTTCAATTGAGGTTTTCACTTTTCATCTTACGCCAAATTAAACCCTAGTTACTCAACACTTAGACATCATTGAACTCGTATGATCAAACCGGGGTAGAAACGAAAACGAAAATGCTAGTAATTAACAATGTTAATGGATGTACCTTGGAGCTTTTCTTGGCTGTTGAAGACTTCGGTCCTCAGAGGGAACGATGAAGATTGCCGATTTTCCCACCGCCGGAGCTACAGAGCGACTCCAATGTCTAACCCGGAATTCTGACCCGAAAACTGTAAAGATGCGACCTCAATTGCAACACCGCCTCAGTGAAAGTTCAGTTAGTGAAATTGACCCCATACTATCACGCTTATCATTTTCACACTTTGCCCCAAACAAATGATAAAATTTGTTTTGGACCAACTTTAGTACTCCCTCCGTCCCATAATTTTTGTCCATTTTGCCAAAACAATTTTGTCCCAAAATTATTGTCTAATTTGACTTTTTATGGATTAAGTTACAAATTTATCCTTCGGTCAAAAGTAGCCATTAACTGGAAACCATTTAATCCAGTATCGCCGTATCGGCTAAACACAACACACACTAGAGGTGAATAACACGCAGTAGCAGCGAAACGAAGCTCTGAGTCCGACGGCTCAAAGCGGCGGTGACGAGGAGATGGTCAATCGGTTGGTTATTGGAAGGGAATATGTGAAGAAATCTTTCTTTCCCATTTGAATATTATGGTATTGATTTGTTCGGTATTCTCTATTTTTTCCAAAATTAGAAACTTTTATTGTTAAAATTTGTTTGTATCCTTTGAAGCGGTGTCGTTGATTGGGTTTTAGATTTGTAGACACATTATCTTTTCTGGAATTGGAGGCTTTTCTGTTTTTCTTTCAAAGAAATCTGACTTTCAATTTGTTAATTTGTGGTTTAATTTAGCATTCAAACTGAAGTTAAATGGAAATAGGAATTTTATTAATGATTAGAAATCGGGTTCTCCAGTTTCTTGATGAGATTTGAGAAACCTGATAGCTAGCTTCGAGGGATATCTCCTTAAGTTGAATGTTAGAACAATCAAGTTCCTCCTCCCAAATTCTCTGCTCCACTACCATCCCTGCCACCTTTAATTAGGCCTCCAAGGAAAAGAGTTCATCCTCCCGATGGATATATTGACAGTGATGAAGAGGATAAGGGCGATGAAATTATTGAATTTACATTTATATCAGTTGAATCAACTTGTTTATCTCCGTTTGATTTTGTGTGTTTTGCTTCAGATTTGAAGTGAGACCCATTTCGTCTACAGTGGACCTGAACCATCTTCAAAGGTGATATTTCTGTCATTTTCAAAAGTTGTCTAAACAAAGATGTCGTAAGTTCTTTTACTTCTGACCTCTTATCAAAGTTTGATCTTTATGCTTTACTTCCGAATAATTATCTTCTCTGTTCTTATGGTAGTCTTTTCGGCTGCACCAACCCAAATTTAAAAAGGGAATCATTGCTTTGGCTTTTATTTTTGCTGGTGCTTTTGTTAAAGGTTGCCTTTATAATTTGCTTCAATTCTCTGTATCTGTTGCTTGGCTAAAGTAGGGGAGTATAAATGGCTAGAAGACTGTTACTCTTGATTTCTCAGTCTTACCGTTTTCAAATGTTATTGTGATGATTTTATGACTACCTTTCTCTCGGACATTTGCTTTGTCATCCGAACGTAGTAAGTACTTGTCTTAGTACTTTGTTCCAATGCATTCCTAGCTAGTGATGTGAGTTACAGTCTCTATGAACATTCATCATGTAAGCTTTTGTTCTGCAATTTCATGATTGAATGTGAAAAACATACTCCATCAGGGTAGTAAATGATTATTTTGTTGGCAAGAAATACAGGGCTGATATCATCAGGGATGGATTGATGAGATAATCTGAAATCATTAGTTGGTGTACACTCATGAAAGAACATTTTGCTTGTTTTTCCATCTTATCCTGTCAGTGATGTTGGGGATAATGACTCGTTTTGGTTGATCTCTCTCTCGCTATTATAGGACCGAGGCAACAATAGTCTTGAAAGAGTTTTGACAGTTTCTTGAAATATATTTCTGGCTCCTTGTCCATGTGGGAGATTCTGTGCACCAGGGCTGCCCTTCCAATTTGACTTCCATCTTTCTCTGTGTAATTGTAGTTGCTATGGTTGTTGCTTAACCTGGTTAAAGCAATTGTTCCTAGTGTATACTTTTGGCTGAGTTTAGATGATATCTGTCGCAAACAAGATGGTATGTTGTTGGAATATCCATTTTGTGTTTGCCGAGTGAACTTTATTGTTTATACAATGGGGTTTGATTTTATTTTTTGACCAGATACGTTAATTTCTTGGAGGGATCCTGAGTTATGGTACTTTATGGTACTTGATCATCTATTTTGCTGCAATTTTCTTGACAGTTTACGTTAATCTCTGCATTGTGGCATTAACACTAGTCATTATTCCTGGATCTGCAGATTTTTTTTGTGCAGTTACAACAAACCAAGTCATTATTCCTGGATCTGCAGCTGAAAAGAAGTACATGAGCTCTGAACGTCTTGATCAGAAAGTTGAACAAAGATCTAATTTCAGGAAACCACCAACTGTCGATGCTTCTCAGAAGGCAAAGGCGCCAGAACCCCTCAGATATGGACGCATTTGCAGAGAACAGGAAGAACACATTTGTAGCTCTTCTGAACTGCCAACAATGATTTTGGCAGGAATGTTAAAGTAGTGTACTGGTAGTTCTCACATAGTTGCTTCTGTAATTTAGAGAAACCGCTTCAATACTTTTCGGGTTCATTGTGAAAACGTAATCTTGAAAAGCCAACACCTCCAATAAGAGAATGTTTTAAAGATTCTTGACTTGGAAGGTTACTGACACTACTAAAGTGTTGTTTTTTTTCTTGTACCAACAAACATTTTTGGCTTCTATATATATAAGCTCTTTATTCAATTCATTGAAAAACAGTATGTTGGCTAAGAAAGAATAATCAGAAGACTAAAATGACAACATGCCGTGATAGAATATTCGAACTTTCTTAGATACTAGAATTTTAGAAAGTGAGATTCTGAAGAGATCATACAAGCAAGCAAAAGGTAAACCCAAACACAAATAGATTAGATAGGGAGCAGACTTTTAGAAATAGTTTCACCAAAACACAAAAAAGGTAAACGCATCTACCTAATCAAAACAATCAAGAGTTCTATAAACAGCAAGAGATATTTTGACTAGTAAAGAGTAGTATGTTTCATTAATTGTCGCCTGATAAGAGCACGTACGCTAGAGCAGATATGGACAGCGTTGGCACAATACATTCTCATTACCAACAGCGGAGTCATGTCCCATAATTAAAAAGCAGAAAAAAACAAACATTGACCTATGCCGTCGATTATTCCAGCTCCAATGCTTACTAATGACGCATCGATTCGTTCCAGCTCATGAAATGAAACCATTAAGTGAATTATATTCAATCAATTTAACAATATTCACCATTTCCCCTCAATTATTAGTGAAGACAGCTTACAGAGAGGTTTTTCCCACAGATGAACATCTCTTCCTCCGGCAAAGCAATTCATAAGAGTGTCTTTAAAAATAGAGAGAAGAAAGAAAGAAAAATGGTTAAAAAAAGGGTTCTAACCCAAGCCAAGAAAGCATTACGGTTTCACAACTGACGGGAAGTATTGTTAAAAGATAAGCCAGCCTTGCTATACCATGACAATACACGAATCGAATACCAGAACAGCAAAAGAAAGAAGATCATTTTAGTTTATAATCAAACATGGTTCACCACAATCAGTCAGCATTTCTCATAAATACACCCCTAACACCTAACAAGCATGCAATCCACCGAGGGCAGAACCTAGATTCAAACTTTCAAATCTTTCTAAGCAGATATAATAGAGATATATAATTAGCAGACTAAGCACCAACGAAGGTAGCGCTTGGCACATATTCAACAAGTGAAAGAAAACTAGATACCTTCTCAGGGGGTTTATTCCCGAAATATATGAAATGCAAATAGACAGAATCCAATTCAATTTTCATGCCAATCACAATTGACTGATACCAAAAACAGGAAGTAGTGAACTGTATCATCAGATTCCAGATTCAGAGTACATATGAGACTACTTCAAATCTGTCAGCTAATGCCTTACAATGCAACAATTATTCCAGTAAGGTTTACAAGTAGAGCAGTATACTATGATTTCTACAAGATGCACAACATTTACTCCTTATATAGTCACTGTGAAAAAAACCTACAAAACTAATATAATCTTTTCTCCACCATCTTTTTGTTTCTCCTGCATTGAAAACATCACACAATTAAGAACCAATTAGTAAGTTACAAGCAAAACTATCTAATAATCATAAAAAGCAATACTTTTGTCACCTTCTATGAGTGATCCTGTAAATATTGCATCACTTTTTGAACAAGTTCCCTATCACAAGCCATTCGAGTCAGGAGCTGTCCATCTCTTGCTAATTTATCTTTTTCCAAATGAGGTATTTTATAACCATTGCTTCCAAAAACTTTCATGACTTTCACCGTACATTGTTGCAAGGTCAAGAAAACATGATTTAGACTCTTGTAATGCAATTCATTGAAGGATTTCTCCACCGCCAAGAGCAATTCGTCAATTGTGCTCGGTGCTTCTTGGTGTTGTAGCACTTGGAAGGCTTCAAAATAACCAAGATCGAGAACATTAAGATCAAGGCTATTTGGGGGCTGAAACATTAGACGAATATCAAGACCCTATTTCCTAACCGCTTCAATAAACTCCACATTGGTTGGGGCAATGTGTGGCTTGGCATTATCCTGCTGAATAAAGATAGGACCAGGTAATCTCCACGGCCATTTAGCACATATGGCTGGCAAAACTTTGTCGATCAAACATTTACGATAAACCTCTTTATTGACAGGACACATAGGCTTTGTTTCCAAAGTTCCAGCTGGCCGATTCTTACTATTTCTCTTGGCTGGAACTTTCTCTACGAATGAAAATATTCCAATTTTTCCATCAAACACACAATTACTCCACCAATCAAAGTGATGCCTACACACAACAGCCAGGAACATTACTTTCCGAATGAACTTTTTATTCTTGCAAAATCTATCAGGCGGAGGTTCAGTTGGATACAAATAAAATCTCTTAGTCCACCCGGACAGATAGAACCATTTTTCATCAAGATGAAAGATATTAAACATCTCCTTAAATATAGGAAAACTACTCAATGTATACTCTTCAAGCATTGACATACAAAGCTGAAGCCTCTTTATCATATTATCTTGTGTGAGAAATGGTTTAATTGCATTAGAGTGAACAATAATTTGACCTGCTCTGATCCGCCAGTGGAGTGTCGACCGAGCTATATCCATTTGATTGGCAAGTGAACGGATGTTGCTCCTACGTCTTAGAGGAACCTTCTTAATATCTTCAAAATCTATATCTAGCACATTCCTGCCAGCCCGTTTTGATCTACGCTCAACTTCAATCTTTTCTCCATTAGCCAAGCATTGTTTTGCACGTGCCCAAATCCTTCGTACAGTCCAGTCAGATACACCCAAATAACCAGCAATCCATACAAAAGTTCCATGTCGTGTTTTTCCTTTCTGGAACTCAATCTCAAGCATCCCCAAAATCTGATTCCTCTATGCATCCGTGAGCTTCCTCTTAATGTCATCTTCTTGAAAATATGATTCATATGCATCAGAATAAGTAGTTTCATATGATTCAAATTTGTAATCCGATACCTCAGAAGTAACTCCGTCAAAGTCCGAATCGGAATTGCCATCATTCGATTCAAAGGATATTCCTCGCGAGATATCAAAATCATATGTAGGAACATCAAATTGAAGCACAGAATAAGAACTTCCTCCAAACCAGTTTGAATTCATATGAAAATTCCATTCAGTTGGAACAAATGGTGACTTCACTTTTGAAGAACTCCGAGCGATTGATATAGGGGAATAATGCTCCGGTGAAATTGAGGAATTGTCTTCATAAACTCCAAATTGAAACTTAGAATATGAAGATTCTCCAAATTTGAGATTCTTCATTGAAAAATTTGGTTTGATTGGCACGACTGAAGGCAGCCTCACAGTTGACGAGCTCCATTCAATCCATACCGGCGAATTCTCCGGTGGAAAAGAACTGCATCCATAAACATCAACTGAACCTTAGAATAAGAAGATTCGAACCATTCATCTGAAAATTTGAAAAATTTTGGTTCAATCGTAAAGAACAACAGATGAAGGAGTTCTGTTTGTTTGAAAAATTTGAATGGGGATCGATTTTTGAATTTCAGTGAAAGAGTTCTGTTTTTTAATAACTTATGTATTATTTGCCGGTTAAAGAATTGAGGAAGTAGGGGCATATCCGGTAGTTTAAGGTAAAATATAATTAAGTTTGACCAAAAATAAAATTTACCAACCTTGCTAAACTGGACAAAAATTATAGAACGGAGGAAGTACAAAATAAGGAATTAATCAGCACAATTGTTGCCCAATTTATAGTATGTGTGTGTGTCTATATATATATATATATATATATATATATATATATAACACATTTTCAAATTTAGTGGTTTTTAAATTGCATAATAATAGTCAATGTAAATATCACTCCAATTTTATGGAAAAGATATGTTTCTTTCCGCACTCGATTATTTTTGGATGTCAAACAATACGACCGCAATTTTCGACTTTTAATTTTTTTGATCAACTTGCCGACCAAGTTACAGTTCATATTTCAGGCATCAACAATAATGCTGTGTAAGGGCAATAGATGCATGGTTATCAGGGCCGGCCCAATGTTTTTGTAGGCTCTAGTGCAAAACAAATTTTAGGGGACCTTAAAATATAAACATAACTTTTTTTAATGTATATATATATATTTTTTGGAAATTGTAAAATTGTGATTTCATTATTTCAACAAAACAAATGAATGTTCTGATGTAGAAATGTATATTTTTTATTTACTAACATAGAAAACTAGGATCTATGTTTTGTGACTGCATTTGCTCCTGGAACGGGGTATAAAGTGAGCACCTTTAAACAATATTTTCTTGGCTTCAAATTGACTGTTCAATAGTCGATGTGCTGCCTTAAGCCAAGACTTATGAGATGAGATGCATTTTTCCCCTTCGTGAATTGTATACCCCTTTATACCCCGTTCCGGGAGCAAATGCAGTCAGAGGCTTCCAAGAAACACGACCTCAAGGACTCACGGGGGACACTAATAGTCGACTCATCCGGTTCCACGCTATATGATTAGGAGTTTTTTCAACTGGGGTTATAAAAAGAAGTAACAGAACAAACAAAAATAGAACACTTCTCCATTAAGTCTTTACCCTGTAATAATAATAATAAAAAGAAATAAAAATTGATAAGTTCATTAATTTATAATGCGCCAGGTGAACACCTGTATAGATATATAATATATATAGCCCAGTAAGGCGGCAAATCCTTACAAGACAGGGGAACATGGGGCTTTTTCAAATTATGATTTCCAAGCAAAAAACCCTTTTCCTCGGTCGAACACAGAAGGAAAGTCCACAACCAAGCATCCACTACGAAATACAGTTTCGACAAAGGACAACCATTCACAGCTACACAAACAAACATATGTCATTTTCTATTTTTCTTCCTACAAGGTCCAGGTGACACTAGCTTCAACTTTGCTTCATACCATGTAACTGATCTTGAACAATCCTACAAGGTCCAGGGTGATGTTAGCTGTTTGCTTCATTCAAGTTCTAGGTCTTTAACAATTTGTAATTTCTTCAGATGCTCAACGACTTGGGTCATATTTGGACGATCAGCTCCATATTCTTGTATGCACCACATACCCAATTCAGTTACTGAAAGAGCATCTCTAGTGTAATAACCTGACTCTGACTGTAGGCTTTTGTGGACAAGTGAAGTGCCAGTCTTATACTCCTCGTTGGCCCATACATCTAGAGCAGGAGCGTGGTTATGTAACTCTTTCTCCTCAACGACCTTTTTGGCTATTATCCCAATTAGGATCATACCATAAACGTAGACATCACAACGCGGAAGGCAAGGACCACCTACAAGAAAATTAACCATGTATGAGGATATCTCCAACAAGCTTTGTCAAAAAAGCAAAAACCTGACACGCTTACAAACATCAAACAATTTCATACTGATCTGATTCGTGAAACTAATGCCGTCAGAACATAAATAAGTAACACGACTCCGTATGGGTATTAAGTCTTGTGTGCAACATAAACTACAATAAGAAGGGGCCTGATCAATCCCAGAGAAATGTCATCATATGCAACATACAAACTTAGCTATCATAGATGGACACACAGCAACCCATTTAACTTTTATCCTAAAACTTTCATGAAGCCAAAAGTGTCAATTTTTATCACTGAATCCAGCAGTACCAAGGAACAATGTCAACAACACATATAGCACATGAAAATGACCAAAGCAAGGCAAACTTCAGTGCCAACATAGAACAAACTGATAAAGCAACACTGAACCTTAAACCAGAAGATTTCAAATACACGAGCTACATACCCATGAGAAACTGCGGATCACCATAACCTAGCGGTGGGCAAACCCTTCTTTTTAAGTCGCTAAGTTCACCAATCACCCCTCCACTCAGTAATCCAAAGTCAAAGAGCAATGGATTTAACATCTGTTTAACAGGGAAAATGAGATTGCTAATAAGTGTGACAAATTGAAAGTGTAAATCATGGCTGTGCTTAAGACATCTGCTAACCATCCAACTCACCTTATCAAGCATTATATGCTCTGAACTCAGGTTCAGTACCACATAGGGCTTCACTTGACAATGTAAAAATTCAAGAAGTTGAGCAAATTTAAAGGCAACCCTGATCCTCTGAACCCAGTTGAAATCATCTGTCCATGTGGAAGCTAAAATATTAGAAAAGAACATATGTTTATATAAAAGTAAGCTGAATGATAATGTACTAGAGCTACTGCACATTGTTTAACTCGGGTAATTTCTCCAAACCAATTCCAGATTGAGAAAACACTAGTGACAGCGGCAGGATGCAACACATATACACTTCACACGTCAAACACTTAACCAGCAATATCAAAATAGAAGACAAGAAAACATGATGATGTGTAAATAGAGATTACCTTTCGGAATCATATGATGCAAGGTATCTAGTGCATCAAGATCGTAGACAACAGCCCTCAGGTTTTCTTCACAGCATTTACCAATCACCTTTACAATATTTGGGTGAGAAGCTATCATTTTGTCCTTCAAGAACATTACTTCTTCCTTCAGAGCATAACACAAAAATATATTTAAGAGCAATCACGGGAAAATCAGACACGAAAAATTAAGTGAACAAGTACTAAAGCAAATATGAGACAGGGTATTGAACATACCTCGATAAATATGTAAGGAACAATAAGACTCTCCAAGTAAAGTGCATTATCATCCCAAGTCTTCACGACAACACTTCGAGTCTTTTCTCCAATCTTAATGGTTCCATGATAAACCTCACCAAAATGATATGGACCAATTCTATGGCTGAAATTACTAGTGAAATTCCTTAAATGACTGGATGTGAAAGAAACCACCACCCCAGAATGATTGTTCTTGCTTTCGTTGAAGGAATCTGGGGATTTCAATGACAGCACCAAAGGGGAAAAAAAAAAAAACAAAATCAAAAAAATTAAATGAAATTGAAGATCAATGAAAACACAAAAAATATCCAATGAGCGATATAAATAGGATTGGAAAGAAGAATAACGAAATAGGGTTGCAGATTAGGGCTCCCTATACTTGTCAATAACTATCAGAATCAGGACCGATAAATAGAATCCTTATAAAAGTAAAAGCGTAAGGATACAAGAAACCAGTAATTGTTCGTAGTACATCCAAGAGTCTGAATAATCGTACAGTTTCCTGAACATACCTGACCGGAATTTTGCGATGGCATCGATGGATGGGTTGAAGAATACCCTCGGACAAACAACGTTTCCGGCAGCGTTCGCTCTGCTCCATCCCGTCTCCGCCTCGTCTTCAACTGAAAGCCTAGCTAAGCCACCAGACGGAGCCATCGTCGAAGGGCAACATTCCGCCATGACAGTACCAGAGTCGAGAAGAAGGAAAGAAAAACAAAACGATTATCCCAAATCCAAAGATCTGCACAAAACTACGCGCTAACACGCATCTATATATAGACAAATTGCTTCCCTAATTTTTTTTTTTTGTTTCAGCATGGACACGCGTGGTCCCTCAACTGTTTTTAAATGCTTTCCTAATCTTTTTTGTATAAGGCTTTGACACTAGGGGTCCCTCTTCATATTTTATTTAATATGATGCTCCATTTATTATTATTATTATTTTTTATTTTTCTTTTTGTTATTGTGATTATTATTTTGTAAAAAAAGTGAATGCCAAAATTGATTCACTTTTTGCAAATTGAAACAACAATCTTTGGATGTAATAGTTTTCTAGTTATCATTTCATTTAATCATTTGCCTATAAATAGCAAAGGAGTTGATGTGCATAAGGGCACCCAAAAATTATATACAAAAGTATTAGCCTCTTTTTTCTCATCACCGTGTTTCTCCCGCCTTTTATATAAATCATATCATATTAATAAACCTTTCTCCCCGTTTCTAAGCCTTAATTTCATTTCTTAAAATTTAAAATATTATAATTTTTTTAGATTAAAGTATCTTAGAGAAGTTATATATAAATTAAATACATCATCTCTCAATCAAATAATTACTACCTTGGCTTCGAATATTATATTGGGCATTAATTTTAAAAGAAGTTATCAGCACGAATGCTCAAAAGTCACTGAATGTAAAATTTCTCTACTCAATTTTAAGTTTTTTGTGGATAGATTTTTCCGCACATAATCCGTTATGTTTATTGCTATTTGTGGGATGAATTTTGTCTCACATAAGTATTCATTTTATAATGGGATGGATTTTCCGCTTGCATAATTATTTATTTTTATTGCTAATGTGGATGGGTTTTCACCCCACACAACTATTTATTGCTTCTTTGGATGGGCTTTCACCTCACATAATTATTTATTTTTATTGTTATAGATGGGATGGATCTTCCGCCCACATATATATATATATATATATATATTTTATTTTGTTATTTAGTTTTATAATGGGATGGATATTCCACCCTCATTTTTTTTTTCAATTATAGTGAGAAGGTTAATTGATCCACATATTTCCTACAATTTAATAGTATGAAGGGTTATACCACCTGCACATTTATTTTATTTTAATTTATAATATTTTTTAAGGATAAAACTCACTTTTAGTCTTCAAAGTTTAGGGGTAGCGAGATCGAGTCATCACAAACTTTCACTCAAAAAAATCAGTCACCTAAGAAGTTTTCTCGCTAATTTTAGTCAGTTTTAAAAAAATTTTATAGACTTAAAGGGTCAACCTTTTTTTTTTCCCGCTAAGTCTTTAGTTTTTTATTAATTTCCTATTGAATGGTGGCCCAGTAATTTGACCTAACAATTTTTTTTTTCATCCTACTATTAGATTTGTTCGTATGAACATATACAACATCGCAAACAAATAGACATAACACATTTGGATAAAACAAATATAGAGACAAGTGCATAAACCAAACTTTCAAAAATATGCACCTAAACATTTGTCTAAACACATGAAGACACTAGTACTTACGCGAGTCTTTTGAATTAATTTCTCAAGAATCGGAACCATGTCTCTTATTGAATCTTTTGGGATTTCATATAGACATCACAATCAAATGCACATATCAAGTAATCACTATATTTAATAGTTGCATTTTATTTCTTCATTTGCTACTAGATGTAGCAAATAACAGATAATTTTATTTCTATCTACCACACAAGAGAATATAACTCCTTCTGATTAACATCCGGGCTTTGGAAAAATTTGTGCAATAAGTTGGTTGCTCATTAATATTTTTTTTTATTCATATATTCGGATCCGGGTTTAGTGGTTCCCCCTCCTCCCTATTATGGATTTCCCTTGTTGTTCTAGACCTTTTTGGCCCACTCTCACTTCTACTGCTCCTTTCCCCTGTGCCTTGACTTACTTCCATGCCTTTTTGAGCACTAGGCTTACCCCTTCTCCTTCCAACAACTCCTCCTCTGCCTTCTTTACTGGTTTGTCCTACATCCCCTGATTCTCTCATCCTTATTTCTTTCCCTTTAGCCCCTTGTTCCTTGTCATTTGCTTGACACCCTACCATTTCACCGCTTTCATGTTCCTCTGAGGAGACTTTCTGCGACCATGATGGCTTAGCAAGGCTTTTACACTCCCTTTTCTAATGTCCACAGCCATCACATTGAGTGCATTTCACTGGCTTCCACTCGTAAACCAATTTCTGCTCCTGCAACTTGCCATCTCCATTAACAAACATAACTTTCTCCAGTACAATCTCTTGTATTTCCATTTCCACCATAACTCTAGTAAACTCAGCTCTCATCTTGTTACTCGTCATTTCATCCATCTTCTTTGGTTTGCCAATTAGACTCAGCATTTTGCTAAGTGTTTTGGCACCCCAATACTTCAACTCCAAATCAGGCAGTTGGATCCATACAGGTACCCTAAGGATATCCTCATTCTTGAACCTAGTCTTGGCATTCCATTCTTTCACCACTAGTGGTTTGTCATAAAAGTGTTGATCAGACTCTAAAGCCATCTTCATCCCATGCTTAGACTTCATCTGAGCTATGAAATACCCTTCCTCCCTACGCAGGATTTTCCCTATTCCAAACTTCCCCCAGACCCTGTGTAGGAATCTAGACATAATCTGGAATGGCAATTGAGTTCCAACAATGAAGCATGTAACAGTGTTTTGCCTCGATTCCCATCCCTCCCACCACTGCTTCATCACGATTCCCCTTTGTCCTCTCATCGCGCTTCAAACTAACCCCACTACTGATCTCACCAAGCTGATTTGATGGATTATCGCTCTCTTTGACACTCGATCTGGATGGTTCCTTCGCCACTGGCCCTCCTCTGCCACGCCCTTGGGCCATCGCCGACGTAAATCTAGGGTTACGCCAAAAGAGAAGGAGGAGAGTTCATGACGTCAGCGACTTTAGAGAGAGATAATTTTTTGATTTGGAATCAATTTGCTCATTAATATTTTGGGTGATTGTGCAAAATATGCTTATTAATATTTTACACAATCACCCAATAACATTTACCTGGTATATTATTTGTCAAAACTTCTAGTTTTTCAAGCAATTTTATTTTATTTACACATCTGCAGGTGTGTATATTGCGTCTTTTCATTTATTATGACCAATATGTCTAATATCTATACTCACAACAGACTTTCATTTCATGATCCTCATTTTATTCATTTTACTAACTGTTGCAATATAAACGAATTTCATGTCAACGTTTTATTGCCAATCGATTCCATCTTTCTTTAGTAATGAGATCTCTCAATCATTAGATTTTTTCAAGTACCCTTATTCTTCTCTGGAAGTTTACTATATACTGTACTGGAAAACTATTTAATTTCATGAGTTCTTCTGGATTCTTCACTCGTATTTTCTATCTTGATCAATTTAAATATTCTTGTTTACGAAGACTCTTATCATTGGAACTAATGAATCTACCGCTTATCAAATGACCATTTAATTAAAAATAGTGGAAGATGATCTTTCGGGGACGTAATATCAAAATTTTAAACATTAACAGCCTTTTGCATGTAACATAGTTATACATTTGTCATATAATTATTTGGTTTCAAACATTATATCTTGAACTTCAAGTTCATACTATCGAGGATCATTATGAGAGAAAGATACAGTCTATCTGATTTATGAATTTGCTATTTCAACTTAACCCCCGTATGTTGGAATAACTTATTTGTCAAACTTACGGTCATCCAATCGAGTAATAAGTATATCTTTTTTCAGAGTAACTAATGCGTTAAACTAACATTATACCAATCGAGTAGTAAATCCCAACATTAATAATTGCTAAGGCTGTAGGTTCAAAACCCAGCATATATTCTTCTGGAGGCTCCATCTATGTGTGCATTATGGTGGAATAATTACAATATAACCTACACATCTCGTATTTGAAGATAGATATGTATGGTTGCTTACCAAAAACCAATGTTTTGGAGAATATTTGTAAATATCCATTTGGCCTAATGTATATGATTAATGCCTTCTGTGTTTCAACATGTCCTTAATTATATATGAGGTATTTACTTCCGTTACATAATGGTTTTAATTATATGAACACATTTAGTGAATGATGATGTAGGACCGTTTCACATTTATTCTGGTATTTAAACATACATTCACCAGACCTATCAAATTAAAATTCTCATGATAGGAGAATATGAAAATACACATTTCATTAAATTAATTCTGTAAGACTTACACAAACTTAAGGTTGCTAGTTAATAATAAGCATACATGAGGCTATGTCGTAAGCACACAAGTTAAAACCCTATTTATCAAATAGTTTTACAACGTGGACGAATAAATCCATTGATGTTATTATGTATGCTTTGTAATGTATCAAATATTGAGTCCGAATTTTTCTAGTAATAGCATCATAGTCACTTCACATAAACATAAAAATGAATACGAATTCATAAGATAAAATAATCTTCTGGCTCTTCATAGTAGTCATAAATTCTTTGAACTTTTATAAATCACAATAAAATTGAGACGGGAAACCAGTTTTCTTAAAACTAAGTCAATGTAATCAGTAAACTTTTGGTTTACTGTGTCATATATAAATTATAGTATAATATGAGTAAGTTAAAATAATAAATTTCTTGTGAGACTTTATCTGGAAAATAAAGTTCATCATGTACAAATATTCGATATCACTTTCTGACATTCAAAAGATTTTTTCTCGAACACCTTTGACATTGGTGCAAAATTTTATTTGCTACGGTATTCTATATTTGCTCTTCCGGAGTCAAATTTACTAAGTCTCTTCAAGAGATAATAATTAATTAATTATTTGAGTATTTACTCTATGAAACTTGTCTACTCTGAAAAAGTATTGTTTATTCAGTTATTTTTGTTCTACCAAAGTATCTTACTCTTCCAGATCAAACATATAATGTATTACATAACTGGTGCTCTACGGGAGATTTCATCTAATTTTATTTATGGAAAAATATAATTACATATTTCTAGTGCTTAGGAATCATTCAAGTCATTGTACTCTGCTATAGCAAATTCTACTCTTCTGGAGCTTCTGTCCAATTTTTTGTGGAAGAAATTCATATAAATGCTCTGCAGAAACATT